TACCTTTCTTCCTATGTATTTTACTGCCTAGTGGGGTTAAAAGAGTCGGGTTTTTTTTTTTTTAAATGATTTATGTGTATGAGTGTTTTTTGCCTGTATGGGCCTGTGTACCATATGCATGTCTGGTGCACACAGGGGCCAAAAGAGGACATCAGATCCCTTGGAACTGTAGTCACGACTACAGATAGTCGTGAGCTACCATATGGTGCTGAGAGCTGAACTCAGTCCTCTTCAGGAGCATCAGGTGCTCCTAAGTGCTGAGCCATCTCTCCACCAATAAACTAAAGGCCTTTGAAAATAAGAACTCTGGAGGCCAAGGAGATTGCTCGGTTGACAAAGTGACCCACACAAGCATGAGGGTCTGACTTTGGATCCTCAGCAACCATGCCAAAATCTAGCACAGCAGCATATGTCTATAACCCCAGTGCTGGGGAGGCAGGCAGGGCCAAGCCCTGGGGCCTGCTGATCAGCAAGTCTAGCAAAAATAGTGAGTGCCTTGGGTATGGTTGCATACTCCTTTAGCCCTAACACTCAGGGGCTCTCTGTGAGTTTGAGGCCGGCCTGGTCTACAAGCTGAATTCCAGGACAGCCAAGAGATCCTGTCTTAAAAAAATAAATATATGAACTCTGGTTTAGTGAGAGACTTTGTCTTAAAACAGTAAGGAGGGGAAGCCGGCCAGTAGTGGCGCATGCCTTTAAATTTCAGCACTCAGGAAGCAGAGGCGGGCAGATCTCTGTAAATTAGAGGCCAACCTAGTCTACACAGTGAGTTCCAGGACTGGTTCCAAAGCTATAGAGAAACCTTGTATCAAAAAACAAAAACAAACAAACAACAGCAACAAAAAGTAAAGGACATCTGGGAAGACAACTGACGTTGAGCTCTGTCCCGTAATCATATCTGTTCACACACGGAGAGACACAGCTACCCACACGTAAACAGAGAACAAGAATTATGTTTTCACCCTGTGTCTACAAAACAGCCTTCCATGTGCTCACGAGTATCCAGTGAATATCTGACTGGGAGATTCTGACCACGCTAGAGAGCTTAAGTGTTAAGTGAATTCACACACTGAAGATCCTACTTGTGAGAGCGGTAATTCTGTGGCAGCATCAGACGAAGAGCACTTCCTGTTTAGCACCTCGCACCAGAAAAAAACCCACCCTGCCACGCATCCCAGGAATGACCCACAGTATTGCTCTCCCTATGGCGATATCTGTTTTCTTCACTTCCTGTCCTAAATGTCCTTATTCACCTCTAGGATTATCCCACTGCCTTGAGATCTTCCATCCTAATAGGTGAGAAGAGAAATAAAATGTAGGACACTAAACATAGACGCAAAAGCAAAGAGTCTCAGCACTAGCCAGTTATCAGGTCAGGACAATATGGCGAAATCAGCTGTAAAGGCAGGACAGCAGCCTTCAAAGGGCAGAGACCTGGGGAATGCCAGTGGAGGCTCTCAGTCTTGGCTTCCACCAGCCTCATTCAGAAGTTACATTCCTTCATTATAGTACGGTCCTTTTAGTCACCTAGGTTGAATCCGTGGGATGATTCCTGGCATCCCCACTTCCCTTTCCACTCACCAAATCTGTTCCATGTTTCATCCATCTAGTCATCCTCCTACACTTGCTTCTCACCAAAGCCACATTATAGATTCCTATCTGGCCTCCCTGTTCTGACATTCCTCTTTCAGGTCCATCCATTCACCGCAAACGACAGTGATCTGTGTACCCCAGGCTGCCCGGGCACTTCCACTTTTAGCACTCTTGTCTAATCTCGGGGAATTCCTCAGCTCCAGATTAACGGAGAAAACTAGTCACACACTGCAAGGAACTTACAATCTCCCCCAGAACAATGCTGGCAGAAAAACCAACAACACACTCAATTAACATTTATCATTAAAATAAACCCTTAAATCGGGCCCTAGACATCGTCTATAGAATGCAAAACAGTGCATATTAGCCAGGTGTAGTGACACACCTGGAATCCTAAAAGCTGAGTGGCTGAGACAGGATTGTCCTGAGTTTGAAGTTAGCCGGGTCAACACAGTAGATCATGCCTCAGAAAAGAGAGATGGAAATAAAGAAATGAAAGAAAGAGACGGGAGAAGAGAGGAGAGGGAAGGGGAGGACAGGAGAGAAGAGGAGAGAACTGGGAGAAGGGAAGAGAGGAGAAAAGCATCCTCTGCTGGGAAGGTAAACATGAGCATCAGGCCAGGCTTCTGCAGCCTTGTGAGCCCTTCAGCAGGTCACTCAGGACACTCATCTAGAAGCTAAGAAGCTCCCACATTCTCTACCTCTGCTGCTGGGAAGGCAGCGATAACTGTCTGCCTTCCCAGACATGGGCACCCATGCTAATTCAAGCTGTGTGGGAGTTCTCAACTATGCAACTTTGGCCTTTGCTTTCTCCCCTTCTCTTCCTACCTGAGTGTTTCAAAGAACAACATAAACTTTGGTTACAAACCTAGAGGTAAAGGAAACCCAGGTCTGGCCCAGAGGATTCCGCCTAGACTTTCTAATTATTGTACACTTAGCAAGCCCCACACTGGTCTTTCCAAATCTTTTCTGTGTGAGGCTTCTTTAGTCCAATTAGACTAAAAATATTTCTGAACTTTTATGATTCCTTTGCAAAATCTTAGAAGCATAGCAAATAATAGCAAGTGTCATCACAAGTAACTGGCTGGGAGACCAATTACATAATCAATTATTCAATATGATTATATATTTCATACGTAATTATATACAGCTGGCACCTGTGAGACAAAGCAGATATGCAGGTGACTCTCAAACTTTGTTCCTTACACAAGATTCTCCGATGTGTCTCACAATTCAACAATTCACTTAATCCTTGAATATTTACTAAGGCTCTCTATGAGAAGACACTGTGCCGATGTGTCACAGGTGTTAGGGAGATGGAAAATAAGTGGAGGCGTGGGTCACAAACAATATCTCTATGTCACAGAAATCATCAACTTCCTGGTGGTACCCCATCTCCAACCTTTTAGTAAGACTGAAAAACTCGGTGTCACACCTTGAATCCCACCCAGCACTCAGGAGGCAGAGGCAGGTGGATCTCCTAGTTCGAGGCCAGCCTGGTCCACAGAGTGAGTTCCAGGACAGATATAGTTACACAGAGAAACCCTGTCTCCAATAAAACAAAATACAAAACAACAACAAAAGAAGCACTCATCACCTGCCACCCAATATGTCTCTAAAATTGATTCAACAACTCCTACTAGCCTGCAGAAAAGAATAGCCATAAAAAATAGGTCAGTAAGACATACGAATAGCTACTTTTACAAGCAAAATACAAGTTTAAGACATATTTTCCAAGAATTATATCCTGACCAATGTATAGTGTCCCTAATCTCTACTTAACTTGGATTTTGTGGAACGTATAAACGTCTTTCCTTGGTATGGTATACCTGTTGTCTACCCCTACCCCCATCGGCCTTGGCAAGTGACGATTTCTAAGGATGGATTCAGCTGGAACCTCTGTCTTCCCAGTCCACACAGCATGTAGAACACACACTCCCTTAATTAATTGGGGCTGAGACTTGAAAAGTGTCACCTACTACAGTGACAAACAGGTTCGTGAGCCTATGCGGGAAGTAAATGAACCGAACGGTTTGCAGAGGGAGAGGTCGAGCTGGAGCTGGGTTGAACTGGGCTGATCTGGGTTGAGCCCAGAATGATTCAGGCCCTACCACAGAATGGGTGTCTCCCAGGATGACTTGGTAGGATAATTAAAAACCCTATAAATAGGATGGATTTCCAAGTCTCTGCCATCCTCCCTGGCTCCTGAATCTTCTGCTCACTCTTCCTCAAGCAGGTAAGGCTTGCATGCTGGAGCAACAGTAATATCCACAAGGGTGGATGGCAGAGACCGTTCCTGCCGATGATATTCTTGGGCATCTTTCTGCTTTCTTCTCAGGGCTCTGTTTTAGACTATGGTGGATGCTAGAATGGCCTACCTGTAAATCTTGAGATGTGGGCCCTACAGATCCCCAAATTGGAAGTCTGGATGACTGATTGCTGGCTTTTCCGAAGTGCCATCTTTACCTCATGTGCAAGTTAGACAAGACTCTGGGCCATGGGGACTCAGCAATATTCAGTTTCGCTATAATAAGTGGTCACAAAAGACTCAGCTTGTCCCATGCAATCTGTTATTTGTCATTTACATATATAGGCATTGTTGCATGCCTATTTTTTGCAGTTGGGGTTTCATTTTCAGAAGCATATGAGTACAGATACTAGAACTTTTGTACCACAAGAGGGAATATTGGCATACAGATAGCAGAAGACCCCTGCTTCCCAACGCAGCCAGTGTTGACCTATTTGACTATGCACTGTGTCTGCTTACTGTTTTTCTCTGTACCTTTTTTCTATTTACTGATTACATTTAATAAGCAGGTAAAAGAATTTTCTAGAAATGAACCTCTCAGAAAGATTTCTTGGACCACTGAAAGAGATACTTTACCTTCTTCCTTGAGTAAAGGTGACTCTTTAGAAGACAGATCCTCTTCAATGGCATGCTTTACTGTGGCAGGAAACCACACACACTATGCTGACCTCTTCCCACCCCCTTTGGACTTTCCTTTATTTTTGTTCTCACATGAGAATCTCAGTCAAGCAACTCCCACCCAGAGTAGAAACTAAGGCATTTAAATATCGACTACACATGTATAATCTCTTAAGCATTTGCCTCTTTTTAGCAAAGAAACCCTTTTTAAATCACTGTCATGATAGTGTATGATATTTGGAGCCTCATTGTTGATCACGTAATGACGAGCCTAAAATTACAGCTAAGAAGGGACTCTGGTTGTTTAAACCTCCATCCAAGAAACCAATCACTGGAAATGTTGACTCCTTGTCTTCATCCCAAGAATAAAAAACTCTTTCTTTCTTCTTCTTCTCTTCTTCTCCTCTTCCTCTTCTTCTTCTTCTTCTCCTTCTGCTTCTCCTTCTTCTTTTTCTTCTTAGATTCACCTGTGTTTGCCAGAATGCCTGAACTTCTTAGCAGCATACTCAATGTGAGTAAGGTATTCCAGAAATATGCTGAACACCATGGGGAATGTGCTTCATTGAACAAGATGGAGTTGAAGCATCTCCTTCTCACTGAGTTTGGAGACATCCTTCGGGTAAGATACACAGACTCTTGATCCTGTGGAGTGAGATGCATGACTCTTATGTCTGCATCCAGGATATCTTATCAATATTTTGTTTTATTTAGTCATTCCCCACGAGTAATGTACTGGTAAGCACCTTCTAGTTCAAACAGCTTCTCAGTAGTTCTTACACACACACACACACACACACACACACACACACACACACCTCCTTCTTTTTATGTAAACAAAACACAGAACAACTTCAAAGTAATAGGGAATAACTTTCTTTAAAAAAAAGTCATTCATGTTTTCTATATGTAATTCTATACACATACTATCTCATACACTTGTGCAATAATTCATTAAAGATTCATTGAGTACCTACTCCATGCTGGCACAATCCTAGATTCTGAGGATACAAACACAAAGAAAACTAACTTCTTTTCCATTGAGAGTGTCCAAGTGTAGCGAGAAAGAGGTTTATAAACAGGTATGCTGTTCTATGTAAAAAGATAATAATTTAGCCGGATGGTGGTGGTGCACAACTTTAATCCCAGCACTCAGGACACAGAGGCAGGCAGATCTCTGTGAGTTTAAGACCAGCCTGGTCTACAAAATCTAGTTCCATGACAGGCTCCAAAGCTACTAAGAAATTCTGTCTTGAAAAACCAAAAAGAAAAAGAAAAGATAATAACTTTCTCGAATGAATCAAATTCAATGATTCAAATTTGCTGTTAATATAGTTGTCTGTTCCCTGTGGTCATAACCCCCATTGGTTCATTAAGGGATGAGGTTCAGAAAATAAACTAATCAAAGATTAGAACCAGAACAAGCCACTTAACAATAATAGTTTCTCAGAAAGAAG